TTTAATTTTTTATCCAACAAGAAAAAACAAATGCGGAAAATATATTGTCGAAGTGTTTAAGCCTTAGTTTACTTTATAATATTATCATATATTACTACACCGTTTCAATTGTTGCTTAAGTTATGCCGAGATGATGAATCGGTTTTGCAAGCTTGGGAAGTGCACTATCGACCATGCTCGCTAGTTTCATGCTTGAATGATTTCATGCAAGCGGAAAGTTTAGACGACGAGATAATGTGTAAGCCATGTGGCAAAAAGTGTCCAACAACAAAAGCTCTGGCGATTTGGCGCTTACCTAAAATATTGGTTTGTTTTATCATTTGGCATGCAAATAAAATTTCGGTTTTATATCTTGAGAAAACTCTTATATATCTTGATCTCTCTTGAAAGACTTAGATGTTATCCTACTATACGTTATTTGCTTCACTGAATAGCTAAACTTTCCGCATGATCACTTTTACCTTTGTCAGCATGCCACCTTAGCCTCATGCTGTGATACGAATGCTTTTGAGTACTGGAAAACACTGAATGGTATAATGGGTATTACTGCCATATTTTTTTATTGGAGTTGAAATTTGTGCATTTAACTGTTCTTATAGATCATACACTTCAAGAGATTTGTTTGCATGAAGTCTGAACGACGATGGATGAAATCTTGTAAGGTAGTAGACTTTCCTTTGGAAAATTTGGATTTAAGAGAATGGCTTCGAGATCAGGACGTTAAGAAATCAACTAAATACAGTTGTTTTGCTATTGCGGTAAGCTTCGAACATTCAAATCACAAATAACTTTAAATTTTTTTCATAATTGCAGCTAGAAAGTTAATTAACTCATCTCAAACATTACGATTATGTTTGCTTTTCAGAATCATTATGGTGCTATGGCTTCAGGTCATTACGTTGCTTATGCTAAAAACAATAATCAGTGGTTTAGTTTCAATGATAGCCGTTGTCAGGTAAATTTTTGATGATATGCTATATGAGAAGAGAATTTTACCTTAAAGTTTGTTTGTTATGAATCAATTTCATTTCAGGCGGTAAAGGAATCGCAAATCGATAAAAAAAGTGCTTATCTTTTGTTCTATGAGAGAATGGATTAGCTCGAATAAGGATGCTAAATTTTAACAATATCTCGTCTCAGCTAGCAGCACAAGTAGTTCTGTTATTAGCATTTTATATGTTACTCTAACTAAATTTCATTTAATTGAAACAATTCTATTGCCAGTTGTACAAAAGAAATAAAATGGTAATTGATTGCGCTGTGTTATTTTGCTTAAAAATTTTAATTTCATTTCTACTGCCATATTGTATTTTCCATGTGGGTTAATGTCGCAGCGCATCCTTATTTGCCTGAGGTAGGAACCCGAATTATATCCATTTCTGTATTTGAAATTAGAAAATTTTTCTTTAGAAAATGAAAGATCTCTTTCCTTTTGTCATTTCACATATTCTGTGTTTGAATGAATGGATGCAGGTTTTTTCCATATCCCCTACAAGCAGAAGGACAGAAATACATACTGCTTGTTGATATGCTTGTGCTGCATTTTTACCTCACTGTATGCATTATTCCTTCGCATATCATCATCCATTTCTCACTTCTTCGTATCATGTTCAAGCGTTGGTTTAGTTAATTTACCGCGGTCAATGCTTTATTTACTTCCTTTTTGCATTAATTATCATGGAGCTCGAAAATATTGCTGTTATATTTAATTTTGGTAATAATTCAGCAGATAGAATCTTTCTTGCATTAAAAAAATTGATCATCAGTTTACATTTAGATTTTTCATAAAATTGATTATCTGTGAAGTAAAGGGCTAGTCAGTTGGAGTGCCGAGCTCGTGTTTTAAAAAATTGGATTCTGCGATTTCAATGCTCATCTTCTGTATAATTTTCCAAAAATCAAATTTCACTTTTGCGTTTTTTTGTTCATCTCTTCTTAGCTTAAGCGTTTTTATTTTTTTAATACGTGTCTTGTCATGTGGCATGTGTCTCCTGCAGTATTTTATATTTGCTTGTCGTTTTGTCGAACGGTCTTTTTTTCATATCTATTTAATTCGGTAGCGCATGTGATTTAATAGGTGTGACAGCGATATATTTGCAAAAACATTTTTTTGTTTATGAATGAATTATGAGTAATTTATTTTGGTCGAACCATTCATCTTTCAGCAATTTAGCGCACTTTTGTTATTGTTGCCACCTTTTATAAACAAGAGAAAGTTACTCAATATTTTCCCCTAACATTTCAAGATATTCGGGAAGAAAAAATTCCAAATTAAATTTATAAATATTCGCTGACTGTAAATATCCTCTAACTTGTGAGTATTGCTTCATTCCTCCTATTCTGTGCTTTCTATCTCTTGGGACCGTTTTCATTCCTTTTCAGGAAATAATTGTATAATTTTTATCTCTTAACTTTATTTTCGTATTTGATATTTGCTCAGTAATAATTTGCAGTAGTTGTGTAAGTATATGAAATAAATGCTTTGCTTTTATCATTATTATACAGGAATCATTTATATGCTCGCATTAGATTACATGATAATGAATTATGATAATAGTTTCCTTGATGGTGTTATTGATGAATTCCCTTACCATCAACGTAATTGTTTAATTTCCGTAATTGAGAATTCAAAAGGATTTTATAAAATTAATTGGTATATTGATGTAAGTAGTTGTTATTGTACCTTAAGAGAAATCAAATATTGGAAATAATCTTTTTTTTAAAACAAAATTACAAATACAAAAATACAAAAAATGATTAGTAGTAATTATCGTTTTGCAAAAATAAGAGAACAAAAGAAACTAAATAATCTTTTTTAAAAAATTCAAAAAAGGTATAGATATGAGATAATAGAGATAAATAATGATAAGTTAATAATAATAATAATGATAATGAAATGATAGATTAATTATTAATAATGATAAATTAATTTTTGTGAACCGCGAAATAATCAAATATCTGAAGTTATTAATTCTTCAAATGAAAATTCCGAAAAAAAACTCGGAAATCCCTATTTGCGTATCGGAAGTATATTTCTTTTATTTGCGAATTACAATAACCAGTCGCACACGTGTGAAAAGATGCTATGGAAATCATTCTATCAAATCTGTTTGTTGCGCAATTGTCGCAATACGTCGGTGTTTGCTTTCTTTTGTTTTTGTTTTACTATCCTTTCCTTACTTCATCATAAACACTATCTTTTTGCATTATGTGAAGTTTATTCTTTTATCATTTCAATTTACTTTTTTCTGAATTAGGTTAAATTACGTCTTCTTTCTAATATACCGTAATAAATTATGAATTTGAAAAACAATAACGAAAATGGTTTCGAATTTGTTATATTAAATTACGAATTTAAAAAACTAAATTACTTAATTAGTTTAATAATTTTTAAAGTAAATTTTAGAATTTGAAAAATGATAACGAAAATAATTTTGAATTTATTATATTTCAAATCTTTCATTTTCCGTTTTTTGACAAATAAAATTTTTTAAATTTGCTAAATTTATTATTCAATTAATAATAATTAAATTTGTTTTAGTTTAAAAATTTCTAAGGTAGACTTTAGCAAAAATGGAAATTTAACTAATTTAAAATTTTACCCAAAAATTTTAACTAATCACTTTTTATCATCTTATCACTTTTTTCTCTGATTTGATAGTACTATTTTCTAGTTTAATAATTTTCAAAATAATTTTTAGTAGAAAGGAAAATTTGCTAATTTGAAATTTTACCCAAAAATTTAAACTAATCACTTTTTATCATTTAAATCACTTTTTTCTCTAATTTGAAATACTATTTTCGCGTTCAATAAACATTGGACAAATTTTATTTCATATTAATAGTTTATTATCAAAATTAATCACTAAAAATTGATATTAAAAGATAGCATTTACATGATGATAATAATGATAATGATAATATTGAAATTGCAAAAAAAAGAAGTATCAAAATTTCATTATCATAAATGATAATTTAGCAATAAACATAAAACGATATATACGGTAATCCCGTAATATTCATATTAGCAAATGATATGAATGAATGTAATGTATGAAAAAAGTAAGTGATAAAAAGATAAACAAAAACAACAATAAGAAAGGTAAACAAAAACCCTGAATTCAATTCGATCTAACAAAAACTCCATAGATCGATAAAAATATCAATTATAACAAATATATTAAGAGAAATGAATTATAATTGATAAATTGGTAATTTTAAAATTTCGTAAAGAAAAGATAGAGGGAGAGAGATAGAGAAAGAAAGAAAAGAAAAATGTGATGAGCTGAAAGATAAATTTTAGATGAAAATGAAAGTAAACAATTTCACAAAAATAAAAGTAAACAAACAGCGAAACATTTGAGAGGTCATTTAATAAATCACAGGCTTTGCTGGCAATATAATATAAAATAAGTGAAGCATTTAGTAATACAACAATAAAATTATAAAATTTAAAATGGAAAAATTAAAGTTCAAAAATTAATTTATAATAATATATACAATATATACATAGGAAACAAAAACAGGAAAGAAAAAATTTAACCAATATATATATAGTTAACAAATAACATTAAGTATAGCTACACTTAATATTGGAAATGATTTCTTTTTTTCAATCCATTTTAATTTCTTATTTAATTTTATTAAGTTTAAATTTAAATTTACAATTGTTGATAAGAAGAATTTCTTAAATTTAAATTTAATAAATTAAAACAAAATCCATTTATTGTATTTAACAATTATTGATAAGAAGAATTTTTTTTTGAAGTAGATTTTTGTTGCATAAAGAAACCAAACAGTAATTAAACAAAAATAGATGAAAAAATATATTAACAAAGAATGATCATAACATTTTACTATTCGATGATTTAATTAATTAATTAATTAGTTAATTATTAAACTATTCAAAAAGTTAGCATGCATTTTCAATAAGAAAGAAAAGCCATCTCTTAATAAGAGTAAGCAGAAGTGATAATAAGCTTTTAAATCATTTACATATTTCATACCAATCGTATCTTCTTATTTTCACGACGATCTTTTGCACGCCTGTAAATGAAATGAAATTAATTCAAGCAAAATTTAGATGAAAAAAAAATTAAGACAAAATTAAAATTAAGTTAAAACTAAGTTAAAATTAAAAACACATTAAAATTAAAAAATTAAGTTAAAACTTTTTTTGTTTTAAAAAAATATTCAAACTGGAATTTTTTTGTTTTAATTAAAATATATTTTACGGATAATAATTAATTAGGAAAAATATGAAAAAAAAATCATTTTTAATTTTGTAATTGATTTAATTCTAATTAATTGTAAATTGAAAATGAGAGAAAACATTCGTACTTATTAAAATTTGAACAAATTATTTCAAAATAAAATCAAATAATTTTAAAATAAATCAAACAATTTGGATTTAATTTTAAAAAATGAAATTTAAGCTATTTGATTCATTACAATATCAAAGTTATCGATTTCTGTATATAAATTGTTTATAATTTTAATTTTAATTTATCGTTAAAAATATTTCGTCCAATTGCAAAATTCTAAATAAACAATATGGATAACTAAATAATTAAATTAGATGAAATATTTTTAGAAATGAATTGAAACTAAAATTATAAATAATTCCAATACAGAAATATAGATAAATTTGATAATGAAATGGGATCATTTAATTTTTTAATTATTTAATTTTTTAATTTTGATCAACTTCATTTACTTTTTATCACCACATTTCTGGTTTTTATTTTGTTCATTCTTTGTAATTAATTTCATTCCTTTTCAAGTCTGATAATGGTAATTAATTTAATAATTTAAAAGTTTAATTTAATAATTTAGAAATAATTTTGAAATGAAAATATCTTATACCCTTCTTATTACCAATAGAAAATACATATTTGAAGATGAAATTTTTATATATTTGATGATTTTTTTCTCATACAAATATTTTGCCGACAAGGAATACAAGTATTATTAGCATATAGTATAAGCAACGATAAGAGTAATAGATGACCCCGAGACAATAAGGTTAAGTGGATTCCTAAGCTGGGATAATTTTATGCAAATATTACTAGCGCAAACAATATTTACAAAGATAAATTGTATTAGAGGTATAATTATTATTCAGAGTAAACAAAGTAATTTGGCGCATTTTAAACAAAATTAAGTTATCGTTTTCGTTTTAAGCTAACAGGAAATTAACATTTGAATGATTGAGAATTAAATGTTTAAATAATTAAATATTTAAATAAATGAACTTTTTAAACTTTTTGTTTTTTAAATATTATATTTTTAAATTATTAACGAAAATTTCTGATAAACCGAACTATACAGAAATTCAAAATTCCGTAAAGGAATACATTTCAAAGTTGTGACTTTCTTTTTGCACAGCTTTCTTTAAATATTTCAATATTTTAAAAACGATGTGAAGAAAAAGTTTCAATTCTGTGAAATTAGTAATTCAATAATTTTTTGGTGATATAAAATTAAATTTGGAATTATTATTTAATTAAATTTAGAATTGCTGATTAAACTTAAATTTGGAATTATTTATTATTTAATTCATAGAATTGTTTGAATCATTTTCTATCCTTTGTTTGCTGAAAAAACACAAAAATATATGATAATAATTGATAAAAAAAAGAAATATGGTAATTTTGATATCCTTTGTGTTAGAAATATGATAATGATAATAATTGATAACAGAAGAAGAAATGTTGAAAAAATTAGAAATATGATAATGATAATAATTGATAAAAAAAAAAAGAAATATGATAATTTTGATATCCTTTGTTTTAGAAATATGATGATATCCTTTGTTCGCTGAAAAAATTACAAAAATATGGTAATGATAATAATTGATAATATAAAAAGAAATATGATAATTGGGATAATAAGAGAACATTTAACATTTACATATTTTATATATATGAAAAGTTACCGTATGGTTAAGTTTAATTTTAAAGTCATAAACATTTTATGATTGTAAAAGAATGAATCGTAAGAAGGAAATGGAATGGATGATAATAAAGTGATGTTGAAGCGAAAAAAAGAAGAATGTATTTCCTAAAATAATTACTTAAAAATTTTCAACAAATAATTATAGCAATTATCTATCGGACAAAAATGATAAAACGTTTTGAAAAAAGATAATAAAACAATTTTACAATTTTTATATAAATTTTCTTTCTTTGGAAAATATTTGATAGATTTTATTTTACGGCCTGAAATTATTTGTTTATTTATAAATGACAATTTCATTGTCTCATAAAAAATATGCGACAATTTTTGGAATTTTTCTTCTTTAATGCTAGCAATTATATCGAAATTGATTGGTTATAGAATTTAATTAGAGAAAGAAAAGGTAATTTTAAATGTTATAGGTAAGTTGTAAAATTTTACGCTAAGAAATGAAAAAAAGGATTGATTAATGATAAAGGTAAAAAAGAAACATGATGTTTGAATGTATGTTTAATTTTATGTTAAATTTATTTTTAGAATAAATAAACAATATTTTCTAGCGATTAAGAATAATTGATTGATAATAATAATTATTACGAATTAATTAATCATTATGAAACAATAATTAATTTTTGTTAGCATTTTTTTCAGCAATAATGATATTTTCTAGTGATCAAGAGTAACTGCTTGATAATAATTATTATTAAAAATTAATAAATCGTTATGAAACTATTAATTTTTGTTGGCATTACTGTAAAAACTGAATAAAATAAAAATAACTATAAAAAAAATTAACTATAAGGATTACTATAAATTTACTACAAATATACTGTAATTACTATCATAAAATTAAATAGTATAAAAATTACTATAAATTTACTGCAAAATTACTGTAATTATTATAAGAATTGCTGTTACTATAAAAATTTTGAATAATTTTCATTTTTTACTGCTTGATCATAATTTGTTTTAATTATGATAATTAGGTAATAATTAGCTGTAAGTTCTAGCATTGGAATAAAATAAACTGATAAAAAATTATATAAAATGATGGATGAAACCGCAAAATTATCAGTTTATATGCATGAATCCAATTATCAATTTCATCAACTATTTCATAGAAAAGTTAGAGTAAGATGATAATGGAAATGATAACGATTATGATAATGATGTTGGTGATGATATTTTCCAAATATTCAATAATCATTTCTTATAAGATATTAAAAGTTATTGATGAAGGAAAAGGAAAATATCCTTTTGTGTATTTTATCCTTACATCAACTTTTATTGTATACAGTTTATATTATATCCCAGATATGCGCAACTGTCCCAAAAACATAAATCAAAATTTTTGATTGCGTAATTGTCGCAACCTTTTAGCAAATGGTTCATTTCTTCATCCGATATCTCTTCCTTCTTTTTCATCCAAACCATTTGATGAAAGCGAAATTAAAAGGTAAGGTAAGGGAAGAGAAGTTAAGGAGAATTTGATATTATCTTCGAAAACAAATTTACCTTAATGAAACATGCAATAATTTCACATTATCTTAGATCAATCAAACAAATACTTTGTCGGTTAAAATATTATTAATTACTTTATGATATTGTTCTTGATTTACCTTCAAAAGTTTCTTTGTAATGAATTGCATTTAAATTTTCAAATTTAATTTGTTAATTTTAGAATAAAAAAATAATAAGCTAATTAAATTAATATAATCATTTGTTTATCATCAAAATTTTGCTTTTACAAAATACCGTAAACAAAATAAATAATAAATAATAAATAAATAATCTAACCTAATTTCAAACCATAATTTGTTTTATCAAAATAAATAAATCAATAAACTAACCTATTTTGAAACCATATTTTAATTTGTCGTTCGGTAAGTTGTAATTCGGATGAAAGTTGTGATTTTCGTTCTGAATTAATAAATTGTGATGTACGAAATTCTTTCTCCAATTCTAATCGTTGATAATCAGTATATACCATACGATATTTTTCACTTGTTCGTACTCTTACATCTAAAATTTATCCGCAAAAAAAGTTTACTGTATGAAAAAATTGGAAATGAATAAATTTAAAAGAAATAAAATATGCAAAAATAAATTTGTGTTTTTTTCTTTCTCCTAAAATATTTTATAAATTTTTGATTTTGAATTTATCAAAGTAATTTTTCATATTGTAATTTTTTGCATTATTTCTTAGCCTAAAAATTTTACAGTACTAGAATTAATATAATTAATATAATTTAAAATTAATATAATTTATTAATACAATTAATATAATTAAATAAAATTAATATTATGCAATTTATCAACTGAAATGGTAAATTTTGAAATTTACTTTTCTCATTGAAATTTCATAGTTTTGCAAAAAAAGTTTCAAATTTACAATATCATTTCTATTCTTATCATTTCATTCATTCTTTTCTCACCTGGTAACCTCACATCAAATATATAACAATAGTATTTGCGAAAATGATTAGTCAGGTGACCTTCAAAGATAATTCCATACTAAACAACAGCATATAACGTAAAATTTGGTTACGGTAGCCTGAATAACAATTATGAAAATTTGAATCTACAAGAATGATGGAATACTGTAATTCATTTAATTTCTTAATATTTATTTAAATTAGTAATTTATAATAAAAAAAATATAGTTATTTAAAGTTGATAAATTTTATTCGTATTTAAGCAATGTCTTCTTATTCGTTCCTTTGTTTTAGATAAATGAAAAGGAAAATGGAAATACAAAGAAATTTTTGAATGTATTTAAAGATGCCGAAATTTAATATTTAATATTTTATTTCTCTTCCAATTGTTTTAAATAATAATTAGGCTAATTTTTGGTATTTTATAATTTGAAGCTTACAAATAAAGTTTTAAAAAAAAATCTGTAAGAAATTAAATTAATTGCAAAAGAAGGAAGGCTTATTTTGAGTTGGAAAAATTTAAACTAATTTGAAGTATTAAAAATTTAAATTAAATGGAATTTAAATATTTTGAAAAATTTTCTCTAAATCTTTCATCCTCTATTTATAATATGATTTTTCGCAATATACTTCTAAGTAATTTCTATATGATTAATTTATTTTTTTAAATTTCAAAAAGAAATATGCAAATTATTTTTCATACGGCGTTTTTGTTTTTCTCTTTTCATTTCTACTATCAATTCCGGTTTTTATTTCATACCAAAAACGGTCCAATCAGTGGTAGTGTTTTGTTTTATATTTAGGGTAATAAAAATTCATCTTTCAGTTCTACTTTCAATTCCGTTTTTTATTTCATTCCTAAAACGGATCAATTAATGATAGTGTTTTGTTTTATATCTAAGGATAATACATATATATATATATATATATCATTTCTCATTTCTACTATCAATTCCGTATTTTGTTTCATTCCTAAAACGGATCAATCAGTGGTAGTGTTTTGTTTTATATTTAGGGTAATAAAAATTCATCTTTCAGTTCTACTTTCAATTCCGTTTTTTATTTCATTCCTAAAACGGATCAATTAATGATAGTGCATTGTTTTATATTTAAGGTAATAAAAATTCATCTTTCAATTCCGTTTTTTGTTTCATTCCTAAAACGGATCAATTAATGATAGTGTTTTGTTTTATATCTGAGGGTAAAATATATATATATATCATTTCTCATTTCTACTATCAATTCCGGTTCTTATTTCATTCCTAAAACAGATCAATCAGTGGTAGTGCTTTGTTTTATATTTAAGATAATAAAATTCATTTTTCATTTCTACTTTCAATTCCGTTTTTTATTTCATTCCTAAAAGGGATCAATCAGTGATAATATTTTGTTTTATATCTAAGGTTAAAACATATATACATATATAAACATATATGTACATCGAAATGCTAACTAATGTCATTGTAAATCATTCAACAAACATTATTTCTCTATCTCTACTGAATTTTTTACAACTATCTTACAACTAATTTTTCTGGTGTATTTTCTTTCAGATCATCCGCCATAACAATTATTAGTGTGCTATGCATGTTTTATGATTAAAATATAGTTCATCTGGTAATTTCTTTTTGCTGTTCTTCACTTAGATTTTGAGAGCAAATGAAATACACCAGAGAGAGAGAGAGATAATATATTCATCAAATATCGAATATTCTTTATTAAAAAGTTATTTTATCAATTTATGATAATTATGATAAACTATGATAATTTATGATAAACTAATATGATAAAAGGCATCGAACAATCTTTATTGAAAAGATATTTTATCAATTTAAGATAATTATGATAAAATATGGTAATTTATGATAAGCTAATATGGGTAAAAAGCAATAGAATAATGAATTAGATGATAGAAAAATAAATGCTTTGCATGGAAGGAATTAGAATATGTTTTAAATTCGATAATTAAATTATAGGAATTATTGATTATGTAATTATTTGATGATTAGATATTCTGTCAATGTATGATAAACTAATAAATATAATAATAAATTAGATGAACAAAATATAATACTTGACATAAAAGAATTAGAATATCTTTTCACTTTGATTGTTAAACATAGGAGTTATTGATTGCTTAATTATTTAATGATAAGATTTAGAATATCTTCAAACTTTGAAAATTAAGCGTGGGAGTTATTAATTATCTAATTATTTAATGGTTAGATTTCAAATATCTTTTAACTTTGACAGTTAAACATAGGAGTTATTGATTATCTCCAATTATTTGATGATAAGATTTATGAATTACAATAATCATTATTGATAATTATTTCTGGCTAAATTATTAAAAAGATCATTAATAATGAATGACAAATATCCAAGTGTTATCAGTTAATCAGTCATTTAAAAATTAAAAAACAATTTCAATAAGTTTAGTTTTTTTTATTCCCTTTCAATTCATAATAATGTATTTTTCATGAAATGATAAATTTAACTTTTTTCATGATGATAATAATAATAATAGTACAGATAATTCATCTTTGCAGGATATCCCTCTTATCATTACAGTTAAGATCATTTTCTTGCTTCTAAATCCACTATCATAAACAAAATGTATAACTTTTATTTTCTTTGGATCAACAAGAGAAGTGAAGATAGGAAAAGAAAAAAGATCAAAAATAATTGAAACCATGATCTGGCGCAAATATCCATCCTTGTAAGAATTTTGCTAATTAAGCGTAGGAGTTATTGATTATCTCTAATTATTTGATGATAAGATTTATTAATTACAATAATCATTATTGATATTAATTTCTAGTTAAATTTTAAAAAAGTCCATTAATATTTCTCTTTAATTAACTATCTTCATATTCTATTTTCACAAAAAAATATATGATAAAAAATGAAGTATTATTTTAAACTTAGAATGAATTATCTAATAATAATTAAATAATTAATAATTAAAAATAGAATCATCTCTTATCAATCGATAAATTCTAAAATGTATTTTAAAAATATAAGACAAAATGTTCTCTGCAGATAGATGAGGAAGAGAGGATAGAAAAAAAAAAGAGTTTATCATCAAAGTTTATGAAAAGCTGTAGTAATATGATAGTGTCATGTTCTTATCATCCCACTTTCCTGATAACAAAAAATATGCTTTAGAAAAAGCTTTCCATTTTTAAAGTAAATTCAAAATGATACTTTTTATATGAAAATAATTTTGATAATGATTTGCTCACTTATCCTGATAAATAATGCATCATTACTTTAACTATCATTAATTTTTTTTACAGTTGATATTGTAAATTTGATGCGAAGAAGTTGTAAATAAAAGGAGAGAAAGGAAAAAAAGCAAATAGATTGATAAAGTGATATAAATGTTGAATTAATGCTTACTGTTAGTTCCGGGACCAGTACGATATGGTGGTGAGGTAGATTGTTGTTGTTGTTGTTGCTGCTGTTGTTGAATACGAATTGCTGCCGATCGTTTGCCGTTCAATGATGTATATGCAAAAGTTGGAACCTGCAATGATAAAAATTAGAGAATTTTAGCTTAGCTCAAAAAAAAAGAAATTTCAATTTTAAATTTTATGCCAAAATTTAGTTTTCATTTTTAAACAAATCAATCATATTATAATTTCAAGTATAAAATTCGACTTCTTCAGATCTTTTCCAACTTTAAAAATACCAGAAAAAGCATTACAAATGATTTAAGCAAAAAATTTGCATATAAATAAATATTTTGCTCGTCGTATAAATCACCAAAATAAATGACAGTTTTATTTTTCTAGAAAACCTCAAAACTTTAAATCTTTATAAATTCTTTCAAAGTTTACCTTCCAATGAGCAATATGTTCCGCAGCTGTAAAATGTTCATTGGTTGTTGGATTGGTATATGGTGATGCTAAGACAGGACTTGGATAGTAACAATTTCCGGTATTGTCAAAACGATTTAAGCAACAATTACTAGATAATTGTGCCATTGAAGTAGATGGAAATGGATCCGTCGGATATACTTCAGGTGCAGATGGAGTAACTGAAACTGCTGCTGCTGCTGCAGCCGCAGCTGGATGAATTCCTGGTATTTGATAAGGAAATTCGGATGGCCATCGAACATCAGTAGGATGTTTGAGTTGATCAGTAGTTGATAAAGCTCGAAAACCACTCGAACTAACAATTCGTGGAATTTGATTATCCGTAGTCGATTGATGATGAAAAGGATGATGATGATGATGATGACCATCAGTTAACCATTTTGATGATGCTTGTGATGCTGTTGTTGGATAGAAATATGATGCACCCGGTAACATTGTTACACTGTTAAAGTTCGGTGGTGTTGTCATACTGATAATAATAATTATTATTAAATTAATTACATTAATATTAAATACCCAAATTGTTAACGTTGATATCTTTACTGAATAACAACATTGCTACTGTTACTACTAATAATAATTAATAATGATAATGATAATACTAGTAATAATTAATGATAATAATTAATAATGATAAATAATATTAATAATAATAATAATGATAATAATCACATTGTAAAATAATATTCCGTTTAAAGCTTATCTTTGCTTGATTAAGAAAAAAGAATAAGTCATTAATTTGGCAGATCCATTTTAAGAAATGTATGAAAATTTTTTTACATTAGTAAATTTTGCTAGGTTAGGGCGTGGTACATTTATTCATTCCAGCTACCGTGTACCTTCTCCTCATATATTTACCTTTCTTCCTCCTCCTCCTCCTCCTACTCCTCCTCTTCTAATCACCCATTCCTCCTCCTACTTCACCCCGCTTTCTGCGATATTTATTGAGTCCTAAAAAGTTCTGCATTGAAAAAGGAAAATAAGAAAAGAGAAGGCTGTAGAGAAAGGAAAATGAAAAATGATTTAGATGTGTTACCAGCGGTAAATCCTTTTCAAATTTAACCAATAATAATAGTGAATGGTTATTTTCTATTCTGGATAAAGTTAGACCCGAAAAATGGATTCATCGAAGATTTACGATTTTGACACAACGCCACATGCGATCGACCTCACACCGATTATATTCCTTCCCACCTTTTCCTCGTCTCTTTTTTTTTGCTTTTATCCCTTTTTTTAATATCTCTCTTTTGTTTCAATTATTTATTTATTTATGCTAATTAAAAAATGTAAGCGAAAAAAATGGAAGAAAAAAAATGGATGAAAAATGATATTCTAATTATATCATAATATCATTATGATATAGTTATAATAATATTCATCATAAATTCATTATCTAATATTATCATTCTAATCTATCTTCATTTTTATCAAATTATCCTTAAAATGCTAAAATTTAACAATCAAATTAATTAATTTGATATTATTTATTAAAACTAACTTATTTGATGTTATTTATTAAATTATTCAAGTTCAAAAAATTAATTGAAATTAATGAAATTATTATTATTATTATCATTATCATTATGAAATTATTATTATTTCTTTATTCATACTATTTAAAAAAATGCAAGAGAAGAAGAGAAAAATGATATTTTAATTATATCGCAATATCATTTATGATATAGTTATAATAATAATCATCAAAAATACATTATCTAATAATATCATTCTAATCTATCGTCGTTTTTACCAACCACTCTTAAAATGCTAAAATTCAACAAGCAAACTAACTTATTCAATATTATTTATTAAATTATCCAAATTTAAAAATTAAATTAAAATTAATGAAGGAGCAAGAAATATTATCTTCCGCTAGATAAATGCCATTATGATGATATATGATAAGAGGATGGAAAAAAATAAATCAAGCAAACATAAATGATAATTTAAAGAATTTTTTAAATTCAGGATTTCAACACAAATTATTTTTTTGGAGACAAATTTTATAAACGATAAAATCTTTTCTTTCATCATTTCAATTAATAAAATAAAGTGTTGCTATTTTAGATTGAAAAAGAAACAAACAAACGAAAAACATATTTTGTCCTAAAATAACTCATACAGTTAATTAATTAATTGATTAATGCTTAAATCAATTATTAAAATATAAATACAGTTTAAACAATTTTATTTTATCCTAAAATAACACATACAGTTTAATTAATTAATTAGTGCTTAAATCAATCGTTAAAATATAAGCAAAGTAACTTATCTTTTTCAAAATTAAATTTTAATACTACAAACAAACAAATTATTAGTTTAATAATATTTAATCTAAACATCATTTATACTAAGATAGTTTGTTTTATCCTAAGATAATTATGCAGTTTAATTAATTAATTATTGCTTAAATCAACCATTAAAATATAAACTCATTAACTTATTTTTTTTTTGAAAATTAAATTTTAATACTACAAACAAATAATTAGTAGTTTAAAAATATTAGTTAATCTTATCAATATTAATTATTGTCAATGTGAAGCAAAAAAAAAGTTCGATTAGTTACTAATATCAAGATTTCTCAAATTTCAAAATTAAAAAATAAAAACAAACAAACAAACAAACAAACGATAAATTGTAATAAATCAAAATTAAAAAACAAATAAACAAATACAAACAAACAAACAAACAAACACAAACAAACAAACAAACGATAAACTGTCAAAAATCAATTGAGTTATACATTTTTCGAGAATTTTTAAACTATAATAAATAAATAAACTATAGCAATAAATATATTAATAATATAATATGATATTAATGTACTTTAATATAATATAATAATATAATAATAATGAACTGTAATAAATTAAAATTAAAATAAACAACAAACAAACAAGCAAACGATAAACTGTCAATAATCAGTTGAGTTATAAGTTTTAAAATGAAAATCACTGTATTATGCTATCATATTGAAATGATGAAAAAATTTTTTCCGATAAAAAAGAAATTCCGACTGATAGCTGCTGGCTGGTTAGCGATTATTGGATAAGCCAATTAGTGATAAAATTTAATGAAGCAAAATGTAATGCAAAATGATATTGTAATTGTTCAATGACCGTAAGACACATATCATTTATAAATTAAAAAAACAAACAAACAAACAAACAAACGATAAACTGTATGTATCGTTCCGCTCTTACACAAAAAAACAACATATGGTAACCTTTTTTAGCATTTTATTACCGTAATATCATCATCAAAAAACAAAGATTATATATATCCTTTGAACTTATTCTTTGCATTCTTTCTTTGTTAGAGAGTTCGAAGCAAAAATTTTTAAAAAGCAAATTTATAGGTGCTAAAAAAAAAGTGATATCATTTTATTATCATCTTATCAATTAGTTATCAGTGATAAAATCATTCAACTATTTCTTTCGCCTTTTTTTTTGTTTTATCCAAAAAAGTTTTCCTTTACAATAATTTATGAAAGAAAAAGAAAATAGAGATGAAATTATAGGTATTATACTAATCAATTTTAATATCAATTATCAGTAATAATAAATGATAGTGATAACTAAGTTTTATTAGGGAGTAAATAAAGGTAATAAAAATTCATTAATCAATTAGCTATCACAACTATTTCTTTCGCTTTTTTTAACAATAATTTATGAAAGAAAAAGAAAATAGAGATGAAATTATGGGTATTATACTAATCAGTTTCAATATCAATTATCAGTGAAATGATAGTTAATAGTTAATGATAGTGATAATTAATGATAGTGATAGTTAATGATAATGATAACTAAGTAAGTTTTATTAGAGGAATAAATAAAGGTAATAAAAATTCGTTATACTTTATCCTACCAAAGAAAAAGGAAATCATACAATCACTTTTTCACACTCTTTCTTTCCACCAATAAATGAATGGAAAATAATAGATCGATTGCATTGGTAGTGAATCGACCGGGGATTTTATGATCGTCCACAACTGAATGCTCCAATATCATTATAGTATAATGTTCTTTTATTTCAAAAGAAAGTGGAATGAAAAGAGAGAGGGAGAGAGAGAAAGGAAAAAAAATGAAAAGTATTTGTACTTTATTAAGTTCATAATTATACTATTTAAAGATATGATAATAATAATCAGTATCATTAGTATTAACAAATGATAGCATGATTGATAGTGCTTTGATAGTGCTTTATTATGAATTTAATATGAAAAAAAATGACTGTGCTTTAATATGAATTGATAATAGTTGATAGTAAAAGATGAATATTTATAAAAACAATTAATTCCATTACTACTAATTAGTTTTAATTTTTTAATAAATGATTAGCTTTATTTTAAAAGTTTGAAAAATATGTTTTGCTTGGTGATAATAAATTAGCAATGATAATAATAATAATCATGTTGATAATAAATTCGTATTTTATTGTTATCATTTCTTACTTTATCATTGCAATCCTTTTTTCATTCAAACATTATGCTTCATTTGTTACTCAATTAAAAAATTACCTTAATTAATCGATTATAAGCTCTGTTTTATTTCTCATCATGTTATATCTTTCTTATTCATTTACAAACTTTCTTTCTTTCTGGCTAATAACTTCTTAGTAAATAACTTCTTGGCAAATAAATTCATGATGAATGACTTCGTGGCAAATAGCTTCGTAAGTAAATAACTTTTTGGTAAATAACAAACAGAAATGAATATTTAAATTTGAAAAAAGAAATTTTCTATTATAACTTTTTGGTAAATAACTTCTTGATAAATAATTTCTTGGTAAATAACAAACAGAAATGAATATTTAAATTTGCAAAAACAAATTTTCTGTCATAACTTCTTGGTAAATAACTTCTTGATGAATAATTTCTTGGTAAATAACAAACAAAAATGAATACTTGAATTTGCAAAAACAAATTTTTGTATTATAACTTCTTGGTAAATTACTTTTTGATGAATAATTTCTTGGTAAATAACAAACAGAAATGGATATTTAAATTTGCAAAAACATATTTTTGCATTACTCATTCAATCCTTCTTAAAGCATTATTTCACAATAAGAAAATAAAAATGAATAATCGCAAAATTGTTGGAAAAATTATTAATTTGAAACCTGCCGCTAATTAATTGAGAAGAACAATAATTTTGGCCGAATTTGGTAATTACAGCAAAATTAGCTAATTGAATTAATGTTTTGTCAGTTGAATTAATTGACAGTAATCACCGATAAAATTTGTATTTTAATTCAAACTCATTTAAATTTTATATCGAATAATTTAAAATTATTTCTAACTTACATACATATATA